GAGGGAGATCGGCGGGGAAATCACCGCCCCGCGGGCGCCCTCCGCGAGCTGAAGGGAGCAGGTAGCCCGGGACACCCCCAGGCTACGAACCTGCTGCTCGCATGCCCGCTCGGGAGCAATCCGCGTTTAGCTGCAGCACTAAGGCAGCGCCCGCGCCGCCCGAGCACGGACATGGCAGGGTACAGACGTTCCCAAGCAACGCGCACGCCGAGCAACTTTTCTGCTCCTGCCGAGCCCGGAAAGTTCAGGCCGGGCGGCGCGGCTTCCCCGAGAGGGGCGAAAGTCGGAGCAGCAAGTGAGGGGCAGAGCCCTGCTCCAGAGCCGGCTCCACGCGGCCGGGCTTTGCCGGAGCAGGGCTGAAGGCCGGGCAGCGACGGATTCACTGAATCACGTTTGGGAAACATGGGGAGGAAGCTGAATAAGGAAAGCACGGAGACAGCCCCCCCCCCCTCCCCCAGCCCCCCGCTACAGCGAAGGGGAAGAGCACCCCACAGGTCGCCCAAATCAGCTGGGAGATGAAAGAGGGGGAATGAAAACCAAATCCAATACTTACTTGTTAGCAATGTCTTTTTCATTCATTCAACTGTTCGCACAACAGTTTCCAAGGGGCGGGTCGGCGGATAAAGCAGCCGCGCCGGGAGCACTTGCTCGTTACTCTCCGCGGGGAAGTGCAGGACCGGCGCGGCGCGAGCAAGCCGGACAGACTGGCCCTTCCCTCCAATGTGCCTTTGTTTATGTGGGCTCCGTATTCCAGAGCCAACATGCACCTAAAGTCTCCAAGCGTCAGTGCACGTCAGTGCTGCCCGCCCAATCAGCCCTTCAAGGGGCTGGATCTCTCCGTACCGTTGGCCAGTTCTTGCTTTGGTAAATTTCCGACGTGACATCACCACGAGTGCAGATTTTAAGGTGGGAACAAGCTACCTTGGTTCACCTTGTTACCGCTTTTCCAAAATAGGTGCGATCCCGCCCCCGCCCCCACAGGCCCCCTCCGGAGGTGCAGGACTGTAAACAAAGACCGCGACCCCCCCGGGGAGCATCGCCCCGCGCCCTGGGCAGCGCTCCCAAGCTGCGCGCGGCGGCGGGGGGCGAGGGCTGCGCTCGTGAAGACACGGGAGCAAGACCCCCCATGTCTTTGCCCCCCGGTTTATTCTCTGGAAATGTCCCCCCCCTCCCCCAGCATGGGGCAGTGCGGAGTCCCCGCCCTCTCCCCGGCGCGGGCAGGACACTGGTGGGCGCGGGATAGTGAGCGGCTCACCTGAGCGCCCCGGGACCTGCAGGTGCCGCCGGACAGGGCTGCTCCGGAGACAGCGCAACAAGTGCTGGGCTGGGGGGAGGGGGGTCCCGGCCTCTACCCCTGCTCGGGCGGGCTGCGTGGGGTGAGGGGCACGGCGCTGACACTAGACCCCTCGGCCCGCGCCCGTCTCACTAGACGCGAGGGAGGCTGCACCAGGGAGACCCCCTCCCCCGGGGGCTGCTCCTC